TACAAAAGCCCACTAAAGTACTTTCCATGTTGTTTTCCATTATCCCTATATAGCCCCAATATTACCCTAATATATACCCCAATGTGTAGCAGTGTGTAGCGGTACCATGTATGGAGGCGGCTTCGGCAAGAGCACTGGCATGTAGCTGGTCATGGACTTTGGCAAAGCATGCAAGCGCAAGGATCCTCCATGTAGGTGGCATAGGGCGCCCAATATTCGCCTCTATGCCACTGGGTCAGCGGTAGTTCCTTAGCGCACCATCTCTCTCAAGTAGGCAACGCGCACTAGACTACATAGAAATGGACGCTTGGTAGCAAGGCTCTTGGCGAGACAGTCTGTCCTCCGTCTGCTTGCTACACTTGCTGCAGGGAAAGATTCTGGGAGAACAGCTGGCCCAGGCACCAGGGGTTCCCCTGGCAACTCCTTTCAGGATGGCAACAGTCTGACCGACGAGTGTACGAAACTTTCACAAAAGCTTCACGTGGCCAGGATAGCAAGGCTGTAGCCTGCTGGCGCTTTTTGTGGGACAGAACGCTTTGTCTCACTTTACATCTGCAGTTGCCTGCCTGCTCAGCGGACGCTTGAGGGGCACCGCTGCCACCTTGTCATGACGGCACCAGCTTCTTGGCAGTGCAAGAAAGCAGTAGCACGCCAGACGGTGCTTGCATTGAACGCATTGCTGACTAGCTTTCGGGTTTGGGGTCAGTCAAAATTCACTTGACCGCCGGCTACAAGCGCGCTAATTGCTAGCATCTTCGCTTCACTGATGACCCTGCCTGTTGCGTCTTTAGTCCCGCTTTGTTGCTGCGGCGGTCCGTCGGCTTGCGGAGCAGCTGCTGGAGCAGCTGGCTGGGGCTGCTTCGGGGGCACGGTGCCAGAAGGATACGGTGCTGAGGCTTCTCCCCTGCCATTTGCATCCTTTTTATCTTCCCGAGCCCGCGCATCAGCCGGCGCAGCACCGGGCGCAGCGCTCCCATCTCGCTCTGCAGGTGCTGCTGCAGAAGCTGGTTTCTTCCTGCAGTCGGCAGCATCAAGTCAGAAATTTGATGGGGCGAGCAAGATTGTGCAATGCAACGATCTGCACTATGCCGTCCAATGAAAGCCGCAGCCACGGGTTCTGCTCTTCAATTCATAGCTACATATCACAACTAGACCTGCTACCAACAAGACATAATCCAGTGCTCCCCAAAGCGATTCCAGGCGAGATGCTTCTTGGGCTTGAGGAAGCCACCACTTCCTCAGCCGGCATTCGGCGTCCCCGACATGAGTCGCAAAATAAACACGTGTGTTCATAATATGCATCCTTCCTCTAACAGCAAATGCAGTTGAAATGGTCGTCTGGTGTTCAGCAGGAACACTGGAACACTGCGCTCACAGCAACGAACTAAACAACTTGACAAAACCCAACACCCGCGTCTGCATATGACAAAGCAAGGAAGAGCTTTAAGGCGGGCTCCCACAAAGAGGTCGACATCTTTCTCGGACCACTCCACCGCATCAGCTGGAAAATTCAGTGAGCTCGGTGCCACATCGGGGTACCGAGCAAGCACTTTTGCAATGACAGGGTTGTCAAGCACCATGGCAATTCAAAAGCGAGATTCCACGCGTGCCAAAGTGAGGGGCGAAGGTACAGGTACAGAGCGATGCGGCAAGTCTGCTTGGTTTTGGTGTCTGCAAGGGATGGGTTGGAGTGGCTCATGACAGCATGACGGCGCTTGGAAGAAGTCGTGCGGCTGTGTCTGATGTTGCGCAGATACACGCAGCCTATAGCAAAGCAGGTTCCAGCATCATCCAGCAGCAGCCTTGGTATATACCCCACAATCTTCGACCCTCTGCTCCCATGCAAGCTGCAGCTTGCTTCCCCCTCAGCTGAACACCCAATGCCCACTACCTCTAGCCATCTACCAAAATACTGCCCCCTCGCAAGTCCCCAGGCAGCATGAATTCCAAAATATCTTTTGACAGGCATCCTGAAAACTGACCACATCTGCGTAAGAGCATGAAGATCTGCCACAGCCCTTCTAAGGAGGAATTTCCTGAACTGCCAGTCTAACGTTTGACCGTATTCACGTATTCGGATTACACAATTGAAGCCAGAACGTGATGTGTTGTTCTCTCGCAATCCAGATGGACACTTAATCTATGATGATCAAAAAAAGACTGTTTGCATAACATAAGACATCACAAGAAATGATTGGCTATGTGAAGGCAATCCCCCTTTGGACCGAGTATGAGCTGCTGTTGTCTTAACAGAAGGTCCTTGAAATGAGGGTGCGTTTAATCATTTCGAATGGAAAATGGGCTGCAATTCTGTAAGCACTCTCCCTGTCCTCCGAGGTAGCTTCCTGGCACCAGGACAAGAGGAGGATGACTTGGTGGCTTGAGGGTTGAAATCCGAACCCGAAGAACACAGGCTCAAATGAAGCAGTAGAGAATTCTTCTGCATTGACCATACAAACGGGCCATTACAAGTTTTCAATGCTTCAAGCCCTTTTTCAGAAGAATCTTTGGCGTATCATAGCCAATGCACGAAATCACGTGCAGACCTTCACAGGCAACAGCACAATCGATACACCTGAGGGGCGCTCTTCGGGGAAACCTTCAAACTATGTGTGCCTAAACCCTAAACCCTAAACCCCTAAACCCTAAACCCTCAAGTGGCCACAATCGAGAAGCTGCGACCCCTCCCCCCCCCTTCACCTTCAAGGCACCAGACCACACTGGAACTTCACCTGGCCCAATGGTCAAGCGAAAGCTTGGGGTCCATTTCAGAATATCATGCTACATATGTGTCGTGCATGTGTGCCTACACTACAAATGCGTCTTCATGCATACACACGTTTTTCCGCCAGTGGTGGCTTCCGAGGGCAAGGTCTGTGTGACTCTCCGGGCACCTGTGGCGAGTTTGTCGTCCACAGACTCATAGCCCACGGGACGTGCCTTGACCTTGCTAGTTCCGGGTGCTTTCAGACTCGGCCATTGTTTGAGGACGGGAGCCGTCTTAAGTACATCCACTGCTTTCCTCAAGGTGGATCTGCCCCTTGCAGGGTCTGCATACATTTCGTGCTGCGCATACCTCATAAACGCCTGAGAGCCCCTTTGCGGACTCTGGAGTTTAGGAGCCACGGCTGCTGAGCCTCCAACAATTTCTCCCGTAGTGCCTGAGAAGCGGAGAAAATCTCTGTTGCCCTTGCAGCCCACGCTGTCTCATTGGCTCTCCTAGAGGCAGCCCTGAGGCTGTCTCCGCCGCAAATAGCATCACATGCATCGTGGTGGCGGACAGTCTCCATGAGTTCAGCCATGAATAATGCACATATTTCTACCATCTGAGAGCAAGCAAGCAGCTGGTGTTCTTCGTGCAGCAGGGTAGGTCGTCAAGCGAACAGCCCACAGCTTGCCCCATGGCTGCACAAGGCTGAAGGGATAAATTATCAGAGGCCCAAAATGCATTGTTCTGACTGTGTAGCCTGAAGTCTGATGATGCGGACAAGTTAACAAACCACAGCCCAAAAAGCTGCAGCTGATTTCAGAGATCACTTCTTTGTCCATCAGGCTCTTCATGACTCACGAAATAATGAAAGCTCTAATGGAATTGAATGAGCCAGCAGGATGAGCGGAAGGCAACTTGTCAGAAGTGATCTGGGCACACGAAAGGCCCTCGACTTCCGGGGCCTGAATAGATGCTGGCGGACGCAGATCAGACCAGCAAACGATAGATGGATGCGGGGTAACGTGCTGACGTCACATGGAGGATGGGCAGGGGTTCCATGCCATGCCTGGTCTGTTGCGGAAAGCCCGCCTTGAACAAACACATGCGGGAATCTCGGGCATCAGAGAAGCTGTCGTTTTTCTGCCGCGGGGAAGGGTTGCGATCTGGCCGTCTGTGGCTGGAGCATTGCCGCGACCTGTGAAAGCTGACACAAAATGCAAGCAACTTCCGCGCCCAATGCGTGCAACAGTCGGACTAGCCCCTAGGCCCTCGGGTAATTGACCACTGCGCTGGTGTCCGCATTTTTGTTGACTAGCAGGTCTCTTCTATGGCAGGGCACTGCCTCGACTGTGACCGCTGCTATCCTCCGGCGTTGTGCTCCTGTTGGCCATGGCTGACTAACTGATGCACGTAGAGTAGTGCGCTCAACTCTTGTGACTCTTGTGCTTTTCAAGGCAGCATGGGCAATGTCTCATAGTGGCTGCAGCTTCATACCGCCGCTAAGCCACAAGTCTGGTAGCAAACCAACCTCAAAAATCTGGTGACATCAACCCGAGCACTGCGTTCAAACAAATGCAGGTCTCGCCTCAGCTGCAGCCGAAGCAGCGTGTTGCGGTTTTGTGGTTCCTGCGACATCAACTTCACTTTGGGCTGTTCCATGTTGACTGCAATGAGGTGCAATGTTCAAGGCACAAATACTATGCGTACATTCGCTGACCCAGCCACATTCGCTGCAATGTGATCATTTGAAGCCCTGGGCCTGGCAGATGACGTCCGCACGAAAACCTCTTTGGTCACACAATCTCAGCTCCAATTACCCGTGATGAAAGACAACTGCCAACATTACAGGCCGACACTGCTGTCCAATTGCAGACATCCGGCATCGGCTTGGCGCATGCCCAACGCAAAGTCAGTGCTGGCCTTCTGCTTCAGCAGCTTCGATGGCTGCTGCCGGCTCCGCAAAGAGCATTGGAAAGCTGGCCCCATGCAAAGGTCCGAAACCTCAAGCTGCAAGGACTGAGCGAGGATTCTATCGAAGCATCCCCTGCAAAACAGACAGGCGGCTGCGCAACAAATTTGCAGATGAAATTGTTGCTGCAAATGCAGACCTGCAACGCGACTTTCAAAAACATGTTCGAAAACCTTTGAATCTGTATCCTGTGCGGCCATGGAGCTGAGCCAGCAGCTCAGGGACACCCACTGACCGGGGAGGCAGTTCATCAACGGGAGCCTCTTACAAGGCACTTCACTGCTGTTTTATGTTCAGCTTTGCCAACAAGCTCGATGCCTATCACGCGTCCTTCTCAACGCTCGGTTGACGGCCGGCCACTCTGGTGGCGATCTAGGCAGGAACGGAGATCTTCGGAACTACCAGAAGCGCAGCACAATCCGACGCCGACGGTGAGGATTGCCTTGGCACCACGCAGATCCAGCAACAGCTGCCCCGTCGGCGTCAAGTTTCGCTGGAGCTGCCGCAGCAGCTGCTGGAAGCCTCATTTCTGGCACGTTGCAGTGCAGAAGGACACGATTCCGATGCAGCACTGGAGCGGCGGCAGACATTGCAGAACACACGCATGGGGCAAGGTCAACGTCTGCAAGGCCGTCACCCCCAGAAAAAAAAGCTGAGATGGGGGCGTTCGATGGTGCCAGCCACTCCTGGGTCTTCTTTCTCTTCTTTAGATGAGAACCCGGAGAGCTAGCGCGAGCTGACCTTTTGCCTTGCCTTTTAGGAACCATCCATGCCCACCTCCTGTGGGCCCTAATTACTCAGCGCTGTCATCTGGACGGGTGGGCTATAAATTGGGTGGAAAACAGAATTATAACGGTGAGGACTAAAACACCAAAAGCTAATTGCGGCTAAGCTCGCCACCGGCCGTGGTTGCACGCAGCCGGAGAATTCTGAAATTCATTCAAAAAGTCGACAAGTCAAAAAGTCAAAAAGTTTCAC